TTTTGTCCTTTATGTTTTTCAAAGCAGTCCACAAGGCCGGATTAGACTGTTTGTCAGGACAAACTGGCCCTTAGGTTTTAAAGCCCTGCTAGGATGCAGGTGATAGCAGAGAAGAAGCAGGTGGAGACCCAGGATTCAAAACTGGGCAGCATTAGATGGGAAGGAGGCGAATCGCACAAATGAATGTCTGAAAAGGCAGCGTCACAGATGAGTTCTTAGATTTCAGGCACGTGGAACAGAGACTGATTAGCTCATTGAAGGCAGGAAAATTGATCCAGCCAGAGAGATGACAGAACCCAGTGTAACAGTGTGGGAAAGTGGAAGTGATGTAAAGAATAAACTAGCGGCACAAGTGCCCCAGAATGCCGGCGGTTGGATGAGTGAAAAGCCTTAATGAGCTTGCACATAAGCTACATTATTATAACATTATGAATCTCAGGCAAGTTTTGTTGTTTTTCATTCAGTCAGTGAAACCAGGTCAGCATCTTTTATCTAAATGTTTTCTATTGGTGTTTCTTTAGCCGGCAGCATGGTATGAAACTGGTTGGTTGAGTTGTTTAGTGAAAGCGATCCGCCCTTCTCTAGTATTCTTATCATGTTTAAAGGCTGCTGTGCACGTTGTTGAGCTGGCTCTGTTTCACAGATGAAGTTGATGTTGAAATATTCATATGTTGAATCAATTCATAATTCAACACCCTTTTATAAAAATAATTGGAAAACAGTGAGCAGTGATTACTGAGTCTTGTAAAAGTAAAGTATTAAAGACATCACCAATTTGGTGATGTTGACACAGCTTAATTTCTGGACATCTATGGATTGATTTCTTTGCCTGTGTGCATTGGACGGGTTGTTACCGACGTCTATGGAAAATTTCATGTCAAGAGCACTTTTAGTGGTCTAATTGGTGACGCGTTCATTACTTATTTTCCCCACAGTATATGGAGAATATGCTTCATTAATGTGCCTTTGTTCTGCATTCTTCCAGAGCACCAGGCTGCCCTCTTGCAGCTGAAGAGAGAGTGCAAGGAAGAGCTGGAAAAGATGCATGTAAGTTTTCTCATGACTGCAGTAAACCAGACACAGGGGAAAATGAGCAAAAAGGGTCAAGGGACAAAAAAGAACTAAACTAATACTGATGCAGGCAACAGAGACAGTGTGGTCTTACATCTGAGTCATGACAGGCGTGTTATAGCACACAGTTAGGCAATTAAATTTCAGTGTGGTTAAATGAATATAAATGAATCACAAGTTCAGCTGTAGGAATTTGGGTTCTCATAGCAGATGATGGTTATGACCACAAGATGGCACTAAGTAAGCATGAAATACTCAGCTGGAGGAGCTTCAGTATGCAAACGAAAAGGCTGGAACCTTTGAGCTATTCAGGTGATGAACTAACATCAAGCCTGTCAAACTTCGATGGACAAACGTATGTTCATATGATATATGAAATGTAATTGGAGTTTTACAATCCTGACATTATGCAGAGAACAGATCTTAGATGGTGGGAAAAATGAAGCAATTATAAATGAACAAACCAATTTAAAAGCGCTTGCTATAATATAAGTCTGGAGGCCAACTTGGGTTACTTAATGTGTACTATTACAACTTCCAGCTGTTCAGTCCTTTCACACACACAGACACACAGGTGGCTCCCATCAAATGTCCCTTAAATTTTTTAGTTTATCATTTTTCAAAAACGGTGATTTGGAAGAATTTGAAAAATCAAATCTGTTTTATCTGCCTATTTAAACAAATTTGCTCTTAGAAAAATGAAAGAGACAGACTAAAGTTCTGGCTGTGTTATAGAATTTGTGCCACTGATGATAATTTGCTCTCTGGGCCACTCCCACGAAAAAGTCTGACCTCCTGAATTTCTGGTGAAAGCCATAAATTTTGTTGTAATCTTTCAAATCCACTGCTGACTCAGAGAAACATGTACCGTAGTCGAACCACAACAGAGGCTGGGCTAATTCTATTTCTAAACTGACATGAGTTAATAAGGAACATGTGTAAGATTTATTGCAAAACAGTTTATCTTTAAAATCAGTGCTTTGCTTTGTTTGGTTCTCCTTGTTTGAAATGTCAAATAAAAATTGGACTTTGGGGATTTTACTGTAAGAATTGGAAACGAACCTGAGGGAAAAATTTAATTGGAATAAAGCTAAAAACAAAGATGAAGCGATATAATACCCTCTTTAAATAAAGAAGCGTGTACTTGGAAGAATAAGTAGGCACTCTAGTCCAAATTCATCTCGGGGAAAACGCCACCTGATACGGTTCTGTTGGATGGTGGGAAATGACTAAAGTTGCTGATACTCTGGATTTGTTCTCATGGCAATTTTCTTCTTACAGTCAGAGTTTGAGTTTAAGATGTTCCAGCTGCGTGGTGAGCACGCGGTCTCCATATCACACCTGGAGGGAGTCATTGCCAGTTTGGAAGGAGACAAGCCGTACAACGCAGGACGGGAACGCCGTGAGGTCCGCGATGTTGCTGTGTTCACCGGAGATGACCCCATAATCAAGACCTGCCGCACTGTGGGTATCCAGACGGACCGGGAGACGTTCATTAAGAGCCCCGAGGGCGATGGAGGCGGGCTCGCTCAAAGCCCCAGTCAGAACCTACCGAAAAAACTCAACTTGGACTCGATCGGACTGAATCTAAAGGCTGAAATGGACCAAGGGCCTTCTGCGCCGCCGCCGCCGCCACCTCCTCCTCCTCTACCAGGTTTCTCAGGGCCACCAGTACCCCCCCCTCCTCCTCCTCCTTTGCCGGGCAACACTGGAGCCCCGCCGCCACCCCCTCCACCACCTCCTCCTCCCCCTGGGGGTGGCCCACCGCCCCCACCTCCTCCACCACCTCCCCCTCCCGGCTTACCTGGCAGTGGCCCACCTCCTCCTCCCCCTCCTCCAGGAATGGGCCCCCCGCCTCCTCCACCTATGGGGGGATTCGGTCTCGGCCAGAAAGCAGACATGGCCCCACGGAAAGCTGCCGTCGAGCCTGCGTGTCCCATGAAGCCTCTGTACTGGACCCGGATCCAGATACAGGACAACAAGTACGTATAAGACAGGATCCACTCCACTGGGGCTCCACTGGACTTCAGTTTACAGCTTAGGGTTTTTTATAGATCTGCAAACTCTAACAAGTGAAAGTGAAGCAAAAAATGCCAAACTAGGTTTGATGTCATTGAAAATCTGTGGTGCACTTACAGGGTTTGTCCACCACACCACACTACAGAATTTACTGCCTCTTAAAATGTCCCACACTGTGTGTCATGGTCCCCAAAAAATCTATAAGCATAGATTTAGCCATTATATTGTAAATTGTGGGGGGTGTTTTGTTTTTTATGTTAAACTTTAAGCTAATACTTCAAAATCAAACTTCAGTATGATGATTTTAAAGATGCTTTTGCTGTTTCCTTTGTTACTGATGTAAACATGCTACTGTTAAGGACTGCATGGGTTAGATACACAAATATCCTGCAGTCACAGGAGTGGCCCTGTCATCCCAGTGCAAATGAAGCTGTAGGCATTATTGGCTCTGGGCTAATGGGGTCTCAGTCTAAGGCTTGAAAGCTCCTATTCAAAGAGATTTCAGCGATATGGTTGCTGCACCGCACTCCCTCATCTAAAGGCCCTATTGAGATGCTCTGTAATAGTAAGTGGATTATCCAGACCATTTACTGTGGCTGTGGTTGTTGCCTTTGAGTGCCAGCCTTTCAGCTTTATGGCCTTGTATTTCCATGGCTGGATTAGTGGGGAGAAGCTGAGCTGCGGTTCGTGTTCTCTCGCCGGTTGTGGCCAGCGCTCGAGGACTAAGTGTCTGCACTGCAGTAGTTTCGTGTCAGCTATAAATTTAACTGTTAAGGGGCATTAAATGGGTCAGATGTTTAACTGTAGCTGGATCAGCTGTGTGATCTGTGTTAATGGTGTGAAGGTCTGAGTTATGAGGTTGGGGGGGGGAGGTTTGAAATGGTGCCCAGTGTCTGAATGTAACCTGAGATGTGGAGTACAGTGGGCAGCGTGTACGACGGGGGGGATTTAAAGAATTCACTTATAGCCGTGGTCCAATTAGAAAGTTGTCTTGTGGGTTTTTTTCTTTTTGCTAGGAGGGGGAGTCGGGTCTGAGTTTCTTTAGTAAGCTACGTTCCTGCATCAGAGCCATCAGATGTTTGTTGGACTCGAGGTGGGAGAGAACAAAATCCAAGGATTTGTTAGTTTGTTTTTAAGGCGGTATCATTATAAAGCCTCTCGGCTGCCCTAGATAAATATGCTCACCTCTGCAAATGCTTTGGAGACGCAGCTGAACTTGCTCGACCCTGATCTAGTCACTGTTGAAAGGCAGTTGATTGCTCTGGTATTTAAGCCACGATAAGCCTCCAAGCACTTGCACCCAGTGCGCTTACATCCAGGCTGTAATATCGTTCGATGGTGACCTGCAAGAAGAACTGTGACGTGTGAGGAGATAATAGAATACATTTCAGGTGGGAGGAGCCTGCTGATTGTGGCGTTAATGTCATTTTGATGACCAGACGTGATGGGGGTGGGGGGGGAGCAGAGTGAGGCAGGTTGAGTTGAATTAAACAGTAGATGTGTTTTTAACAGCAAACTGCTGAACGCCCTCTTGACTCTTGGACACCTCTCGTTCTCGCTTTGCGCCTCCGTTTGTTTCTTTTTCCACGTTACTCGGCAACTTCTGCAACACAGCATTTTGTCCTTTGCCTGGAAATGGTGGTTTATTACAGAGACAGGCTTGTCTTTAAACTTTAATTTCTATCACCCGGGTTATAAACGGCGCTCTTAAAAGTCAAGATTGCGACCGTGGCTGCCAGCTTTTTGTCCAAACAGCAAAATGGACAACATCAAATAAGCTTCCAAACATGGAGAACACTCAATTCTGTTTGATTCAAGTAGCCTCCATGTTGCTAGCCGTTCTATGAGCCGCCTTGACTGTGATCGAATGTTTTACACGCTATAACCTCAGTTTTTCATGGTCTGTTTATATCTAAAAAATTTATGATCCGTTTTTTTTTTGGTTTTTGTAGCAACAACACTTTATGGTGTTCTCTGGAGGAGCCAAACATCGTCAACGCCAAAGAGTTTGAGGACCTTTTTTCCAAGGCCACGCTGCAACCGAAGAAGAAGCCGCTGTCGGACACGTATGAGAAGAAAGCCAAAACTAAGAAGGTAGCATCATTGGGCTCCACTCACTCCCCGGCTTGGGTTGTATTGACTTTGGGCGCTGTGTTGAAAGCTTAATTCATCACTTTATTCTTTTGCACGTGGTTATCTTGCACGTTTTGCCAGCTGAGGGCAGGCTTTTTCTTTCATTTTTTTCATCTAGCTTTGTTTAATAGAGGCTTTCTGTCTGCCGTCATCTTCACTCGTAAATCCAAGGAAGAAATAACAAAAGGAGGGAAAAAAATTGATCGCGAGCCTCATCAAGCCCTCCTCCAGATTGTTGTCTGTAGTTGCCAGGTCCTACACTGGCTATCAAGTTCACTCCCTTATGTGTGTGTTGGTGTGTGCTTTTCTCCCCCCTATGATCGAGTTCTGCAGTGTGGTGTAACCAGGGCTTCAGGATTATGCTTTTTCCCTTTTGTGCAAGGTAAATTTTTCAAATCAAGAACAAAAAATCAACACAGATGTGCTTTCTGCCCAATTGATCCGCTATTCCCTCTACCCCACCAAAGACTCCTCGATGCCGTCGTGTTAAATCCTGCAACTCTGCACCTCTCTCTCTCTCGCAGCCAGCGCTGCGTCAGCGTCCCGGCCGCCTCGCGGTCCCTGCCAAGGCGTCCGAGCAGTTAAAAATCAGCCGCTGCCCCAGACTTTAACCTCTAAATCCATACACGTCCCCTTTTCTGATCAATTTGTTAAGGCTCCACTCGGCTCCAGAGGGCCAGAACGTGTATGTGTGTGTCCATCCCAAGATCTCCCGATTCAGTCGGGTCACTCAGACTGTCCAACATTTGATCCAACACAGACAGCCACATCCAGACACAGATCTCGCCAACTGTGTCCTGTCTGGGCTTACATCACTCTAAAGGAGGTTTGGCCCCCATTAATAACAACATGTTGAAACAAATTCATAACAATCAAAAAAATCCCATGTCCAACATAACACTTGTCCCCTCCCCCCGGTATTTGAAAGAAGGACCTTTGTGCTACACCGGCTGGGTTTGTTATCTGTGTTTAGACTTTTTGTTCTCAGTACTGTGGTTTTATTTAATTTTACTTTATGCAGTTATTTCTGGGGTTAAAGGGGGAATTGTTTCCGGCTGCCTTGACGTTCAGCTCACTGGAAAGGTCATCGGAATAATAGAAACTTGTTTACTTAATTTTCTATCCCTGAAAGTTTATACTCGGAGTGACTGGAGGGGAAATAATTTGCGAGGGAGATCATCTAAATAATAACCAGCAGATGATGGTTTCCAAGAAGTTCAGCTGGTTAAAGTACAGGAAAGAAAGGAAAGCGGGCCACATCTTTTTGGGAAGCTGGGGAGTAAGGGAAAACAGTATAACAGAAGATTAGCTGCTTCTGAGCGGAAGGAGGAAAGAAAATGGATAAGGATATCTTAGATGGTGCAAAAGAGAACGCTATAGGCCCCCCAGCAACTGCAGAGTATAAAAGTACACGTTGTTTACTTGTTGTCTGAAGTCCTGCAGTACTGAAACAGAGGCAGGCTCACAACCTCCAGGATATTTGGATGACATTGTAGCATTAGTCATGTTACATTAAGTGATACATGTGATTCACAGGCAAGTATTTTTGGCTCATGAGTTGCATCTGCTTAGACTTCTATGAGAGGATGTCACACTGTTTCAATTCCTTCGGGGTGCAAAGGAATAGGGCTTCCACAATTTTCATTGCGTCATCTTTCCACCTAGTTTTGTGAGCGCACCGTCATAGTCCTGGTTGCAAGCGGTTGGATTTTATCAGTTATTCTGAAGCTTAATAAATGACAGGAAGTGGCTAAATAATCTATGCAAATGTTAGACTGTAGTGATGCGTTTGAATCACAGAACAGAAATAAAGTATTCGAATAACTTGCTAAGAAAATTCATATGAGAAGCTAAGCTACTACTTGACCTGCTGTGCAAAAGTCTCGAGCCATTATTCAGTTATTGGGGAAAAAATGGGAAATGGGTGCAGCAATTATTAAACTGTGCAAACATGCATGGAAATACAATTTCTAAGGCAAAAACAGTTTATACTTTAAAGTCAATATTTTTGCTGTGACCACCTTTATTCTTTAACAGAGGCTGAACTCTTTCAGCTTTCTTATCATTTCTGTGAGTAGTCTTCAGGAGTAGTTCTCCAGGCTTCTTGAAGGACATTCAGGGCTCTTCTGTGGATGTTGGCTGCCTTTTGTTCCGTTCTGTCAACATGATCCCACCCTGCTTCAGTAACGTTGAGATCCACTGGCTAAAATTCTGTAGAAGAGATCAAGAAACTTCATGCGCAGTGGGACATGCTTCCTTTTTTTGATTGTCTGTCTTCCTGTAAGCTTCTGGCAGCGCTGCACCTTCACCTCCCTCTAAGTTGTAGGAGGTTTGTTAATAAATCTGTCTTGTTCTGTAGTTTTCGCAAAAATCATTCTCCCCATGTGGTTCTTTAAACACACTCGGAAGCTTTATAAATGTCTGCCCAGAACAGAGATTGAAGCACGACTGTTGAAAAGACTCTTTTATTCTGGAGGTTCTGATTGGACAGGGATGTAGGTGATAGCTTCTCAGTTTGGCGTGACGTCTTCCTCTGCGCAATACCGGCTGACACACATGTGGGCTACCTGCCTCCCATCTGTCAGCACACTCATTTTCAGCCAACGTTGCCAGCGAATCTGGTTCCGTATCTGTATTAAGGAGTCTTTGTTTGTCTCCATTTGTGTGTTTCTGCGTATGTTTTTATTTGCCCGCTTGCTTGAACACACCTGTGTGGTGACGGCACGTCCCCCGCAAGTCATTATGCACTTGCTCAGAAAGTGTTGCCAGAACATGCTAACACCACAGCCCCGGGGGCTGTGGACGGCGAGAGGAGATGAGTGGGTGGGAAAGGAATGTGTGTGTACATTATGCATATGAGCCACTTCCCCGTTTTCCAGCAACTGCACACGCCAAAAGTTGAAACTCGGGGGATGCAGGCGATGCCTACATGAGTGAGTTAATCTTTATCATGTGTGCCATAGAAAAATCAAAGCTCTTGTTTACTCTGGAGCTCGTCTCTCTGCGCCGATTAGCATATCAAAGCTGAGGAGACGACGTAGAGGGGAGCTCTCTCACCGGGGAAGACGGGACCGGGGGTATAATTGCACGCATGTGGCTTCACCCCGATGGCTGGTGGAGGCGATAAAGTATGGGCACCGGGGGAGCAGGCGATGGGCACGTCGGTGCATTTTTGAGGATCGAGGAGGGGAGGGAGGAATGATGATGATGATGATGAGGGAATATTCCGGTTAAATATGCCGGTGTGTGCGTGTACAAATATGCACATTAGTAAACACAAAAACTGAGGTCTCTTTTATGCACATAAATCAGAGCTCTATCAAGTTTATACAAACAGCAGCTTTACGGGTTTATGGCAATAACTTATGAGCAATCGTACTACGTTTATTAAAGACATATTTGAAGTCGTGGCTATGACGTGGGAGAGTGGGCGTAAGATTAACACTTCTGGGCGAGACTGGGGTTGCTGAGTGTATCGCAATTGGTTATTGATGGGAAGTCTCGAACCAGTTGTTATTGTAACATTTGCCTGGGTGATTTCAGACAGATAGTCAGAGAGACATCACCGCGGAGCAGGCCGCTCGCTCAGACGTGGCTGTGTAAACTATCCGTTCGGCTCGGATTCTGCATCACCCAGGCCGCATCGCCTAACACCGGCCACCTGCTTCAGCTCAAGGCTCTGACATCTCAGTGTCTCCTTCCATGATTTTGTTTATTTTCTTAGACCCCCCCCCCCCCCCCTTCTTCCTCTTTCTCTTGACTCGTCTCCGTTACTCGAGCGTCCTCAGCCGTGTCGGGTCAGTTCTCTTGTTCTCCACCGGAGGGAGCCATTAGCTATTGGTGTCTACCTGTCTCAGCATCAGCATCTCCCGGCTCTCTCCACCTACCCCGAGCTGTTTGCGTGTCTCGAGGCAAGCATCCAACATCACTTGTCTTTTCTCATTAACTTAACTGTTTCGGCTAATTGGCGACTTCTGCAAAGGTTCCTCGCCGCTTTTAGTGCGGCCCATCCAGAGTGGTTAATTAGAGGTGTTGGGAAAGCCTGGTACTCAGCCGTCTCATAGTCCCCGGTGTAGGAGATCCCTAGTGATCCAGGTAATAGAGCTGGAAGCAGCATGGCACCCACTAACGCCCTGTAATGCAATACCAACTTCTAAGGCTTCTGCTCTCCAGCTCCCACTGGACAGCCCAGTAGCCGACAACACCATAATACCTAATGAAGAAGCCTGACACATTAACTTTTAGAGCGGGGCTTTACCTTGCCAAAACTTTCTCTGGTTTTACGGCTAATTCAGTCATAAGTAATTGTGACCATGTGTAGGCACAAATAAAAATCCTGTGAATTTATAGTTTGTTATAAAAGCACTGCTTCTCTTTGCCGTGCTCTTCGAGACTGTCCTTTTATGGTGCCACTGTTTGCCTTTGTACTTTCACTGCGACTTGATATTTTTTGATTATATCTCGCACGTGTTTTCTGGTAAACTTTGGAGGAGGTGCTTTTCCTAACGTTCGCTTTCTCATTAATGTAACTTGACAAAGAGGGTCCCGGCTATGTGTGTGCGCGCGCCACATTTCCCGGTAGTTTGCGTCACGATGATGGGTTATCACAATTAGTGCTGATTAGTTCGGTCATTTGGGTCAATCCCGGGTGATTCGCCGACTGCTGGGACTAACTGGGGCTTCGGGCGCTCTGTCTCGCTGGTCGTCCGTCACCTGCCAACGAGGGGAACTGGTGAATTTAACCCACCCTCTCGCTGCTCGAATGAACTTTTTATTCACCGTCTGTTCCTCAGGTTATTTGATGTCACATTTTGAATAATGAGGGATGATTTGCGTAAATGTCATGTTAAGCTAAAAAATTTCATTTTTCTATAACCCATATTTCATATTTGAATCCCCCCACCCCACCCCCAACTCTCTCCATACTTTATAATGCAAATTATTTTGTGGTTTGTTTGGTTTTTTTCTTTCTCCCCAGATTATCAAGCTGCTGGACGGGAAGCGTTCCCAGGCAGTTGGCATCCTGATATCAAGCCTGCATCTGGAGATGAAGGACATTCAGCAAGGTGAAAAAATCTTTTCCAGCGTCATCTAGAAGCTTGCAAACACTACACTATTTTCCTGCCTTTCACAGAACAAACTCGTATTCCGATTCAGCTGCGATAAACTACATTTACTCTCCTCTTCACCATTAAAGTGAGCAGGACTCCTGAGGAGATGCAGATGGAGTTATTTTTAGAGATGAGATAGTGAACTCTGCAGCAGAGGATAATTTCCAGTGTCTTGACAGCTACTAATTTGTAACTCCAGACACTTTTTTTCTGGATTAATTTGTTTCAAGTGGAAAGTGGATGATTTTTCCAGTTACCACTGTGGGAAAGAAAATGCCTCAATTTGTCAAACTGTGAGACGGCCACGTCGCGATGAAAGCAGCCTTTCGCTTTTTCTGACAGGCCTCCTGTGCTGGTTAAAGTCAAATTGCCATCTCCTTCATTTTAAGAGCTGAATAGATTGATTGCATTCTTGACTGTTCTGTGGAAAATGCACGCATACATGTGCATGTCTAAAGTCCCTGCATGGGTGAGTAAACGCATAGTATGTGTGTTGGGGACATCATAGGTGGGCCAGGAATTAGTCCGGCCCTGGGACTGTGGCGGAGAATGGCTGCCGCCTGCTTGTCTGAGCATGCGGCCAGCAGATCTGTTTATTGTAGCCAGTGACGGTTTCCACAAGCCTAATGGGACTGACACCCCACTAATGATCTAAGCATGTACAAAACCACGTTCCACAGTTAGCAGACACTGCGCTACCACATAAAACCAACTCAAAACACAAGCCAGAAAAGCGGATACACCAGGACAACCATCCTGTTTCGATTTCTTTTTCTCCCCCCTTTCAGTTCAGTTTCTCTTCTGTTCCAGTGTCAGTTTGGTAAAAAAAGGCCGGCTCACACCCAGCGTGAGGCTGCTTCCTTGTGCTTTAATGGGAGGTGTATGCGAAATGGACAATTTGAATTTGACAATGAAGGACAGCACCTTAATAAGCACTTCTGAGGGCGCTAGTCCCTTGCTTCGCCTGCTTGCCTCCCCTTTGTTGCCAAATTAAAAGGACATGGTACATGTAATGTAATTACAGCTACTAGGGAGGGAGAGAGTGGGAAGCAGGGAACTAGAGAAGGCAGCGCTCGGGTTAAGAGCAGGGGGGGGTCAAATGCACCCGTGGAAGTGACTGGGCGACCTCAA